TCGGATACGCCTCCTTGTTAGCCAGGGTTTACTTAGTCCTGCGACGCTGCCACGACGTGCGTTACGCCCGCTAATAGCCCACCGGTAACGAACTACCGTCGGCATTTTTCGAGGACCTTTTAAGCGAAAACGCGTTTCTCCTCTCGCCGTTGCCTCTTATCGATCATCCTCGTCATCCGCCGCAGAAGAGGATCGCTAGCCTCTGGAAACGAATTCCTCGACGCCGCGTTTCTCTTTCGCCACGGTGATAAACCGCCCCCGAGACGGACGTTCGATTATCGACATTCAGCATAACGATCCTCGAAACGAAACTCGTACGCGAACGCTTCTATTCCTCCCAAAGAGTTAATTTTAAGTAGTATTTTCGAGCTCGGACGAAAGTACACCAAAGACAATTTCAAGCGTTGGACACGATGGATATCTAATTGCAACGCGACGAGAGGATTTTAAAACATTTTTACCCGCCTGGAGGATGAATTGCTGGTCGCGAGTGGGAATCGGTTGGATCGGGGCTCGCGAGCAATTTAATTACGCCGCGGTATTTCCGACATTTTTCTCGGCCGTGTATCGAGACAAGGTATCGAGAACCGACGGAGGGAGAAAAAAGAGGAACGCACAGTGGCGTTGAAACACTCATAACAGGTGGATCGATGGTCGGCCGGGAGATGCATCTTCGAGGTGGGCGGTCCCACACTCCTTAAATCAGCCCGCAGCCACCATAATATTAAGGCTGCCTCTCACGGCGCGTCTTCTGCCCTGCCTGCCGTTTATTTGTTTGCTTAGAGCGAGTAATTAGAAACCGATACAAATGGTTATTATTTATCGGCGAGGGGAGGCGGGTGTACGGCGAATGCAGAAGTAGGTAGGAGGGTACACCTTCTGATTGCCTGGCGTTATTAAACCCACCGATACCACCAGATAAATACACGGACGGCCGCTGAACCCGACTTCGCCTGCCAATATATAACGACCGTGATCGTTCCTAACAGCTTTCCGTTACTATATTTCGTTGCTCGCTGCTACGTACGCCTTTCCAGTTGCTGGTTTGTTGCGTTCCATCGCTTTTTTAAGATATCCTTGTTGACAATCTGGCCCTATGTTGAGCGTTCATTCGGATCCGTAAACTACTTTTCGACGTCGTACAAGCTTCGATAAATTCACGACACGGTAGAATTATAGAACTCGTAAATATTATTCAGTAATTTAATATATTATTCTAATAAAAGAAAAAGTGCATTTCAATCTTACGACGATAAATTTCCTTTGGCTCTGTGTATCACAGTTTGATGGATTATCCTGAACGTTCGGGTTGTATCGTATCGCTAAATTATACTATCAGCTGCGTAGCATGAATTACTACTTAAGATTTAGAATTTTCGAACGAAGACGAACGCGATCCGCGACGCGCGCCGACAGGTTGACACGCGATCGAACCGACGGCGATTGTTTAAGCCGAAACCGGTGGCATCGCACCTGTCGAAAGGACGCAAAGGGATTTTAAGGATTTCACGGAAACGAGCATAATGGTGGTTCGAACGGAGACTGGCCGCGGCCACGTCAGACCGATGCACCCGTCCTGCATTTCCGAGGGACGCACGAATCGAAGAGGCGAATCCATCGCGATGCCAGACGCGTCCGTTAATAAAGTATAATGGGCACACGGTACCCCGGCGACGATGTACACCTGACCCGGCGAATACAATGGCCGTCTACGGCGTTCGAGCACCGATCACGTAGGCCACGTGTGTGAACGGCTCTTTAATACGGGCTCGTAAACCATCCGCGAGAAAAGGAAAGCTACGCGCCGTGACTCCCGACGGGAGGCTCGTAAACAATAAATACAAAAGTGCACGAATACCGAACAACGTGCCAGAAATGGCTAATTAACGATCGGGGGAGAAAAGAAGGCCGATCGTTCGGCCCCAATTTTTCGTCGGGCCTCGAAACGCAACAGTTTGACCGGCTACGGTCGCGATTCGTAAAATGAACCTCGTTGTACGCTCGCGACACCTCTCATTATCGTAACATTTACTCCCAACACTCTCTGTCTCTATTTTGATGTCTCCGATGGCCCCCGATTCAACTTCCCAAATGAATCTCAGGCATGATTCGTAAGTTGAACGTCCCTGTCCCTCTCGATCGACGAATTTGTTTGGATAATTGGCAGTTTTCGATCGACCGCGAAACACGATTTTCCGGGTAATCGAGCGATTTATTTATCCGTGCAAAAATTGGCCAAAGGGGAGAGCAACGGCGAGTGGGAGTAACGTTGATTAGCTTCCGTGTTGATTTAATTACTGGGGGAATAATTGGAATGCCTACCGAGGATCCCCTGTTCCCTCCCGCCGCGACATCCCCCTGTCGTTTGCTTCACTTTGTCTCCTGCGTCCCGTGGCCCTCGCGTCCTCGCGATCTGACCGTTGCATATTCATCGATGGATTAATATATATCCCATGTGTCGAAGGCTCGACCGAAAACGATGTCACGCCCCGAAATACGAACGACAACGAACGTCCATGCACGGACTGGCCAAAATAATCCGATTCTCAGATCATTTATAAAATATAAGTAAACGTGTTTTCCAAACGAAACATCCGAATTTCAAAAAACGAAAGGCCACCGAATAAATTCGCGCGCTCGATAGTTTCCAGGGGAGTTCCATCGAAACACGTTCAATTACCGAACAGTCGCGGGTACCGGGTCTCCGCGGGAGATACGGAATTTCGTGATAAAAGAGATACAAGGCGCGGGAGTCGAATAAAACCACCGACACCTGGGAAAAAACATTTTTCCGCGTTCTCTGTTACAGCGATGCAAAAGCGGTCCAGGCGTGATAGACGACGCGTGTAGGATGCTGCGGGCGTGGAACAGACGCGGAAAAGACAACGGAGAGGAGTTCGTTGCCAATTTCCACGGTAGCGCGAGAGACTCGTCGCAAAAACCGTGGCCGTGTACGGTTACGTTCGTACGGCGGCCATGGCCGAGCGTATATCGCGGCGATGTTATCCGCAAACACGCGGGTTCGGCCAATTTATCCCAAGGGATGAGGCCGACGTGGCCCGGAGCGCGGGTGTGGGGCAACCTTGTCCAGCGGAATGAATTCAGCACGCAGCCCCTGTGCGGTTCGACCGCCTCCGCCTCCCCCGCGTTTCGCCGACCACCTCCAGCCCCGACGTGCCGCATCCCCCGCTTTCCCGGCCATTTTCCATCCCCCTTGTTACTTCCCTCGTCCTACGCCATCGGTGTTCTCCGCGGAACGGCCGCTAAGGCCGCCTCGAACCGCTCGGTCAGGAAACGACGCTTGCTAACAAGAACGACAGCGTCGTTCGCGGTCGACCGTTTTTGTCGTCCCGGTTAGCCAACGCGACTATCATGATCCCGCGACACTCTGCGGTGCGAGTCCACCGGGTTAACCCCCCGGTTACGCTTCTGACCTTAACCCTTTTTTCCTACGGACCCCGCTTGGCCAGAAGCTACCCTTCTCGAAGCGACGGTTTCAAGTAAAGAGTGCCCCAAAATTCACGCAACATTTGAATTCTGAGCCATTTGTACGGTAATGTGTTGACAGCTGATAGTGACCTCGGAGTTATCTCTAAAATAATAAGACTTTGCTAAATAAAAGGGCCATCCAATCTTGAACGATTCAAGTTCCATCGATTTATTATTTTGCTAATGAAAGTTTACAAGCTTAGTGAAGCGACTCGATGATATCGAAAGGTTTATTAGGGACAAGAAAAGAACGCGATAAAAAGGAAATGGAGTAGATAGCGTGAGCCAGAGTTTCCAAGGCTAATTGATTCGAGAGGTTTGTAACGGGTCAACGAAGGTCTTCCGTGTCGTCGGCTGCCTCTACACGGATTATAACGAATATCAATAGCGTGAATAATCCTTAACTCGTTACTATCGGACAACTGGTGATCCGCTCCACATATTGGCGGTTTGGTGTACACCGGCCGCCTGATTGCCACGGGGGCCCTTAGATTTATTGACCTGTCAATGGCGGCGCGCGAAAACGGCGAATTTACAACGCCGCAGGTGTTAAGTTCCGCCGTGCGTGTAATAACGGCCTGATCCCAGGCCTACGGTAAGCCACACCGTAATTATATTTCCGAACCTCTGGCCCGCCACCTTTGTCATTATCACCCGAGGCGGCGTGGCCGTAACTCAGCGAGATCCATTGGCCGTGTGCGCGCGAACGATAACAGAGAAACGCGGCTCGACGGATCGCGCGCGAATCCGCAATTTTTTAACGCGCATCGCACGCACCTCGAAACGGTAATTATTTCGAGTCGAAAGAAATTTACGACCGACGCGCAGCCCTCGATTTTATCCTCCGTATCTCACCACTTCGCGATCACCTGGATAGCTCGATCGTTCCTTTCCGAGAAATTTCCTATCCGGCGAACTGTCGTTTTAATTTTACGATTCGAACGTGACTTTGTAAAAAATAAATCGCGTATAAATATAATGAAACTCGAGTTCCCGATCTAATCTCGGACATCTTCATCGGGAAACGACAGGAGGATTGCTCGAATACCGAATAAGCTTGGATACTATCCGGTTACTAACTACCTCCATTCGTTTCTACTGTATGTGTTCGAAATGGTGATATTGAACGGCGATACATGCTCTGAAGCGATTCGGTATGGATGTTACGGCCCCTCGGGTTTTATTTTCGTTTAACGCGGCACAAGCTTTTCTTGTACGATCTTTCGTATCTTCCTTAGTTGCTGGCACCTTGTTACAGTGTAGACTAACAGCGTGTTCTTCGATAGTAAAAGATGTGTCGAGAAATAAAATTCAATCGTATCGTGCTCAAGGACACTTCCACACAAAATAGATGATAAATACTCCAAGCAAACATATCTTTTTTTAAATTTTTAAATTTTAAATGTCGTCCAAATTCTTTGCAAAGGGTCAAGATACTTTTGGCACGATATCAGCGGTTCTGAGACATTCTCACAGTAAAATAAAGGGGTAGAAAGAACGATGCGACTTACCTTGAGTCGAGCGAGCTTCGGTTCCTCGGCAGCCAGTTTCGCCAAGGCCTGATAGTCGCCTTGAGCTGCCCTCACCAACCACTCCCGCGACTTCCCGTCCAGTTGCTGCACCACCAACCAACAATCGCCTCTATTAAGAAGGGTTGCCCGCGAGTATCGAGCGCGGTTCGAACCGAGCCGTAGTGCGGAGAACCGCGATCACGATCGTGGCTCGGGTGGGCGGAAATTTTAATTAAGATCTCGGATACGGGATCGCGTGCGTTTATCGCGCAGCCCCGCCGAATCATCTCCGGTCGGCGCGGTTCGAACCGTGGCGCGCGATAATCGCCGATCCACGGAAGAAGAGGGATGAGGAGGACGACGAAACTTACCGAGGCAACGGAAGCGCTGTCATCCTCGTCGGCACCCTGCGGGGAAAAAATGAAAGTCAGTCGCTCAGTCGGGCAAAGTCGTTTCGAAAAATGAACGGGGCGAACCGTACGCGGCGCATCACGGCGTGGAACCGGTCGTCCGCGCGACCGTCGGTCTCGATATGGTGCTCGTGGAAGCGCAACTCTCGTCGCTCCGAGCGATGCGTGTGCTCGTGGTTACGAGCATCGGAGTAACAGGCGAGGGGGCACGCGGGGAGAAAATGCGTTAAAGCAGCGGGACGCCGCGTACCACGAACGCGCCACGGTCATCAGATTGATATACGGATCCAATAATTGATTCTCTGACGCAAGACCGCGGGGGACTGGACCAACTTACGCAACCCCTGTCGACCACCGCCGGGCAACCGAGACCCGGGATCCGGGGTTAGGCAAACTTTGCCTCGATGGACGTTTGGCAACTGCATTCTTCGAGCCCACAGTCGCTTGAACTGCATTAGACATGTTTTCATTCGTCCATTTTTTTATAAGTTGCACGTCAGACGACATCCAAAGAACAGAAATCACGTTTTGTGTAATCAAAATGGAATCAGAGGTGTATGGTCCCCACTATGAAATATTTGGTTTACGAGATAGAAATATATTATTGCGAAAATCTGGTTCCGGGAGGACTCATTTGCATGTCAAGAAGTTCACCAGGTCGTGACCTGATTGCGTTGCAGTTAAATTATAGACTGAACCAAGAAACAAATATGGGTCGAGAGGGGCGATAATTCCATTGGGGAAAGGGCAAACTCTAAAAACTACACCTGTGATAAAAAAAATTGTTTTTCCAGCCCGATGGAGATGAACCCCGATCGGGAAGGAATTTTATCGTTGAAATGTCGTTCGGGTCGAACTGTGCATACAGTTCGCGGGACGCGGTAGGAAGACGCATAAACGGAGGATGAAGAAGAGGAAGAGGAGGCGGCGAGGAGCGGCTGATCCCAAGAACGTTAAACGACTACTCATCCCTGTTAAACTGTTTGTATTTTCACTCGTCACGGCTGCATCGTCCGGGTCCGAGGTGCTCACATCGACACTCGTATCCGAATCAATCGTGACTCCTCGTAAATTACTTGGAGCGAGGCGGGGGCCACGATGCGCGCACGAATTCGGTCGAGTCATCATTAGCCGGGGCCCGATATATCTCTATCGATCGACACCACCTCGCGTGTCTTTAAGTGAAATCGTGATTTCGGGGACCCCGTCAACTCAAACTCGTTCGCATACCGCGGTTAATTTAATTTCGGGTTTAAATACCGGCCCCGTCCGGCGAATCGAGCGACGCGAATCGCATTTATCGTGTGTCGTCGCCATATTTCCGCTCCCCTTTTTCCCTTCGAACGGTGCTCGGAATGAGAACCGCTGACCCCCCGTCGCGTCAGGTGGTGCATCGAGGTACGTTCCCAGCTTTCGTGTGCTACGACCACTCTCTCTCTCTCTCTCTTTTTTCGCTCCGTCCCTGTATATCTGTCTCTGAACGAGAGACGTCCGGTGCCTTCGTGCAAACGCATCGATACACACGGACGGAGATAGTCTTTATTATGTACGTGTCCCGAGCGTTATCCGTCATCAGTGATTCGACAATCGTATTTTCAATAAGCGGTTGTTATTGCCTGACCGGCTTAACAATACCCACGCGGACGGCCTGCAAACAGATTTCGTCGGTTTTCTCTCTTTCGAGGGTGGCTCACTGACGAAAACGGAGATCGAGCGACCTTTCGATGACTTTTTATCCACGCAACGAATAACAGTTCCATGAACGAAAGGTTAGGGTTGGAAATTTTCACAAATACAGCCATCGACGAAGACGATTTTAATTTCCGGGCGCACAGAATCCTTCCTTTATTATTACAGAAGACAGACAGCGAGTGGAAGTATTGCTCCCACCTTTTGAACCTCGCAATTTCTCGAGATACATCGACATCGCTTCGGGTCAAATTTTGATCGATCCCCAAATAAAAATCTCGTAAAATTTGTACGGTGAATTTTGCGTATTGGAAACGTTACAAAGTACTACGGAGTAAGTTATCTTTGATCGTCGCGAATACATCTGCGTGGACCGTACCATAAATTTGCGAACACTCCGAGAGCACCGGTCGTCGAGCATCGATAAGTAGAATCCAAGTAACTATCTCGAAACGAGATGATCGGAATTGTCGTGTCACCGGGTGAGTTTCGTCGATGTTGAAGCGATTTCAAGACGCGGTCGAGCAGATCTTCGACGGCACTGCCGCTTACGAGACACTTGTTTCCTCGTATCTCGGTTAAGAAATATGCAAATGGGGCCCCATCCTGTCTCGGCGCAACGTGTCCGTGAACGATCGGACGGACGGACGAGTCAGAAACGGTGAGGCCGCGGGACCGACTACCATAATGGCGGTGTTATCAGATAAGCATTATAGAAGGCGCGGTAATCGTAATAGCATCGCAACGATGGCTTCTCTCGATCCGTTCGCGGGCAGAGATCGAAAGGAACGAGGAAGACAGGTCCATCCTCATCGACGCCTGGTCCCGTCAGCGGGTCACTGTTTCTCCGTAATTAATATTTTAATTGAGATCACCGGGAATTAATTAATGCAACGGCGTCGTTAAACCCTCCGTCTGGACAGTTCGTTTAATCGATCGTAACACGGCGCCTGTCAGGGCTGTACGGGTCGTTCCACGAATTTCGAGACTTCACGCTGCGCGTAAAACGCCTCTAAGATATTATCTCGGGGCCAATTTTTAACTCGTACCGTTACAATTACGTTCAATCTCGCCACCGGGGATTTCCAGGCAAATACGCGCGTCCCGTTGACTCCGCGATCGGATACGCGCGCGGGTATCGGAAACTTTCCGCGATCCGGACACGCACTTAAAACTTTCCGCGCGACAGCGTTCGCGAGAACTTCACGAATGAATCGGCGTCAAAGGCTCTCGACTCCCGGAGTTCCACGGGTTTCCCGCGTCTATTATCTCATCCCCCTTGGCGCGAACAAAAGAACAGTCCTACGGGGTTCGATAAACGGCTACAAACGCGTCGCGTCGCGAGACGCTTCTACCCGATTCGAGAGCCCTCTAATTAAATCGAGAGCCACGCGTTGGCGTGCTCCTCTTCTACGGACAATGGCGAAGGACGCGAGAACGGAGATAGAAAGATACACGCGGAGGCGGAACGAGCTCGTCAGGGTGGAAGCGTTTTAATAAACGGACGTGTGCTACCCTCCGAAGGGGGTGTATAAATATATTCGGTTGTTCCAGCGCGCGGAAGAAGCCCGGGTGAAAGAGGGGGAGGTAGGGGGGAGGGGAGAAACAGCGGTCAGGAGGTGAAGAGTCGGGAGGGTCGAATATATCGGTGAAACGGCAAAAGGAGTCGGTGGTGGGAGGGGGATGGGGGGCGGGACGAGAGGCAAAACATGTTGCGGCACGAGCTGCCTCAAGAGCACCGCAGAATTAGCTTTATTATAACCTGGGGGCCATCCATACATGCCTAACAGAGCACGAACATTCGCCGGCCAATAAGCCGAATGCTAACCAAACATTTTCGCGACTCGCCGCACCCTTGAATTTATCCCCGGCCGCGCGTCGGACGTAAAGCCAGCGCGGCCGGGAAGGAGGATCGATTTCGCGAATTAAAGCTGGATATCTGTTTAATGCGCCCGTTAATGTCCGCCGGCGTTCGACTATTAATACGCTCGGCTGTTTGCGGAAACCACTTAAAAGATTACCGACAGTTTGGGCAATTATCGAAACCCATGGATTAGCCATGCGGTATCCCGTGCCATCTGCGGTAAACGATTTATCGTCCCACTTAATTTAATAAGGACGATACGTTCTCTTCCGTTAAACGTACGAATACCACGGTCCGACGCTATAATAGCGTCTATTTCTCTGGGACTTTAGTTTTTGCATTTTTTGGAAACGTAGATGCATATTTTTTTTTACACGTATCGATTCCCCAGGTCGTTCTGCGTAAAAAATCGTTGGGGCAGCATGTTCAAAAAATCAATATTTCGCGAGATATAGCTTGCAACGCATAGTACACTGCCAACCAGATCCGAATCATTTACTTTTTTTCATGAGGTTACCTCAAAGATATAGTGTACTCGCGATCATTTCTGCAGGAGGCAGTGAGCAGTTTAATTCTATTACGAGAAACATTAAGAAACGATGCGTGTTCGAACGTCTTCCGGTGAGGTGCACAAACGATTCAGTAAAAATGTGTAATATCTCACGAAATATTGACTTTTTGCACATGGTGCCCCAATGATTTCTTACGCGGAACGACCTGGGGAATCGATTGGAGCGGATAAACGCACGCGCGCGTTATCGTATTAACTATAGATCATCCGTCCCGCGCCATTCCACAGTTCTCCGCGTCCGTTCCCTAACGAGCACCGTCGAAGTTTTCTGTGCCGACGCGGCTCGTCGCGGCGCAGGACGAACGATTAGGCCCGGATTAGCGGGCGCGCGCGAGATCGATTATGCGACACTGCGGATAACGTTGGCCTGATTTATTCCCCTAATGGGCGTTCGCGCATTCATTTCGTGGCCGTACGAGGCAATTCCACGGGGCTTCGTCGGATGGCGGCGGCCGTACTGCCGCTGACAGGAAAACTCTCGCTGGGTGATTCAGCGTTCGGTTCGGCGACGCCTCCCAACGACCACCATAATGCCTACCTAGCTCCGCGCCCACCTACCTAACGCCATTTCCATCGGCCACTATCGTCGGGGATCATAATCCAAGGTTTAGCCCGGACTCGGACGAAACTCGCGGACCCGAAGTGCGGACCGCTGTTAGAACTGGACGCGCGGAATGGGAGAATCACGCGGGGCTGGCTTTACCCTAGCTGCTAGATACCCAGGGCTTGTTCGTACGGGGGAATCCCCTTTGGCTGCTCACCAAAATCGCCCCCAGAGAACGAACAGCGTAATTTGAAAACATTCTTTTTGCGATGAATTCCCGTGTACTCGTAATCCGCGATGAAAACGACTTCGATGCGTTCTTCCGATAC